GCAGAATAAGGCAGAAACAAGTATGGGGCAAGGAGCAGTATTTGGCAGAGACTGGTATGAGGCAGGCAGAAAATGGAATGAGGCAGAAGGGACATTAGACAGGGAGCAGTATTTGGCAGGCAGTGGTTTGAGGAAAGCAGGGTAAGGTATGAGGCAGGGAGCTGTATGAGGCAGAGAGGCGAATGAGGAAGGGAGCACTATTTGGCAGGGAGCAGTATGAGGCAGAGACAGTATGAACTGCAGATGCTGGAGAATCTGAGATAACAAGGTGCAGTGCTGGATGAACACAGCAGGCCAAGCAGCATCAGAGGAGCAGGAAGGCTGACGTTTCGGGCCGAGACCCTTCTCAAGAAATTTCTGAAGAAGGCTCTAGGCCCGAAACATCAGCCTTCCTGCTTCTCTGATGCTGCTTGGCCTGCTATGTTCATCCAGCTCTACACCTTGTTATCACAGTATGAGGCAGGCAGGGAGCGGAATGAGGCAGAAAGGTATATGGGGCAGGGAGCAGTATTTGGAAGTGAGCTGTATGTGGCAGGCAGCATCCTGTTTGAGGCAGAGAGGCTAATGAGGAAAGAAAAAGTATTTGGCAGGGAGTGGTATGAGGCAGTCAGGAAATGGGATGAGGCAGAAGGGGTATTAGACAGGAAGCTTTATTTGGCAGGCAGTGGTTTGAGGAAAGCAGGGGAAGGTATGAGGCTGGGAGCGGTATGAGGCAGGCAGGGAGCTGTCTGACGCAAAGAGGCGAATAAGCAAGGAAGCAGTATTTGGCAGGGAGCTGTAATAAGGTAGGCCGGAAACGGGATGAGGCAGAAGGGGTATTAGACAGGGAGCAGTATTTGTCAGTGAGCTGTATGAAGCAGAGAGGCAAATGTGGAAGGGAGCACTATTTGGCAGGGAGCGGTATGAGGCAGGCAGGGTGCTGTATGAAGCAGACAAGCGAATGTGGAAGGGAGCACTCTTTGACAAGGAGTGGAATGAGGCAGGCAGGAAACAGGATGAGGCAAAAGGGGTATTAGACAGGAAGGAGTATTTGGCAGGCAGTGGTTTGAGGCAGGCAGGGAGCAGAATGAGGCAGAAAGGCAAATGAGGAACGGAGAACTATTTGGCAGGGAGCAGTATGAGGCAGACAGAGAGCAGAATGAGACAGGGAGCTGTCTGAGGCAGAGAGACCTATGAGGCTGGTGGGATTATATGGCAGGGAGTTGGCTGATGCGGTCAGTGGGCGGTATGTGGCAGGCAGGGAACAGGATGAGGCAAAAACGGGTATGAGAGAGGGAGCAGCATTTGGCAGTGAGTTGTGTCAGGCCGGCAGGGAGCTGTTTGAGGCAGAGAGGCGAATGAGGAAGGGAACACTATTTGGCAAGGAGCGGTATGAGGCAGGCGGGGAGCTCTATGAGACAGAGAGGTGAATGAGGAAGGGAGCATTGTTTGGCAGTGAGTTATATGAGGCAGTCAGGGAGTGAAATGAGGCAGAAAGGTGTATGGGGCCTGGAGAAGTATTTGGCAATGAGCAGTATGAGGCAGGCAGGGAGCAGAATGAGGCAGAAAGGTGAATAAGGAAGGGAGCTTTATTTGGCAGGGAGTGGAATGAAGCAGGCAGGAAACGGGATGAGGCAGAAGGGGTATTAGACATGGAGGAGTATGTGGCTGTAATGGTTTGAGTCAACCAGGGTCGGTATGAGGCAGGGAGCTGTATGAGGCAGGCAGGGATCTGTATGAGGCAGAGAGGCGGATGAGAATGAGAGCACTATTTGGCAGGGAGCGGTATGAGGCCGGCAGGAAGCTGTATGAGGCAGAGAGGCGAATGAGGAAGGAAGAACTATTTGGCTGGAGCTGTATTAGGCAGGCCGGAAACCGGATGAGGCAGAAGAGGTATTAGACAGGGACCAGAATTTTTCGGGCAATTGCTTGAGGCCAACTGGGGATGGTATGAGGCAGGTAGCTGTATTAAGCAGGCAGGGATCTGTATGATCAGAGTGACCTATGAGGCTGGTAGGAATCTATGGCAGGGAGCGGTATTTATCTGTCAGGGACTGGTATGTGGCAGGCGGGAGGCAAAAAGGGGTATGAGCCAGGGTGCATTATTTTGCAGTGAGCTGTATGTGGCAGGCAGGGAGCTGTATGAGGCAGACAGGCGAATGAGAAAGGAAGCAGTTTTTGACAGGGAGTGGTATGAGGCAGGCAGGAAAGGGGATGAGGCAGAAGAGGTATTAGACAGGGAGAAGTATTTGGCAGGCAGTGGTTTGAGGCAAGCAGGGGGGCGGTTTGAGGCAGGGAGCTGTATGAGGCAGGATGGGATCTGTATGAGGCAGAGAGACCTATGAGGCTGGTGGGAGTATATGGCAGGGAGTGGTATAGTGCTTTCAGGGTGTGGTATGTGGCAGGCAGGGAACAGGATGAGGCAAAAAGGTGTATGAGACAGGGAGCAGTATTTGACAATGAGCTGTATGAGGCAGGCAGGGAGCAAAATGAGGCAGCAAGGCGAATGAGGAAGGTAGCAGTATTTGGCAGGGAGTGGTATGAGGCAGGCAGGAAATGGGATGAAGCAGAAGGGATATTAGACAGGGAGCAGTATTCGGCCGCAACGGTTTGTGGCAAGCAGGGTCGGTATGAGGCAGGGAGCTGAAGGAGGCAGGCAGAGAGATGAATGAGAAAGGCAGAAGAATTTGACGGGGATTGCTATGAGGCAGGTAGGAAACAGGATGAGGCAGAAGGGGTATTAGACAGGGAGCAGTATTTGGCAGGCAGTCGTTTGAGGCAAGCAGGGGCAGGTATGAGGCAGGGAGCTGTGTGAGGCAAGCAGGGATCTGTGTGAGGCAGAGAGACCTATGAGGCTGGAAGCAATATTTGGCAGTGACCTATATGAGGCACTCAGGTGCTGTATGAGGCAGAGAGGCGAATGAGGAAGGGAGAACTATTTGGCAGAGAACGGAATGAGGCAGGCAGGGAGTGGAATTCAAAGAACAAAGAACAAGGAAAATTACAGCACAGGAACAGGTCCTTCGGCTCTCCAAGCCTGTGCTGATCCAGATCCTCTATCTAAACCTGTCGCCTATTTTCCAAGCATCTGTATCCCTCTGCTCCCTGCCCATTCATGTAAATGATATATCTTAAATGGCGCTATCATGCCTGCCTCTACCACCTCCGCTGGCAATGTGTTCCAGGCACCCACCACCCTCTGCGTAAAGAACTTTCCACGCATATCTCCCTTAAACTTTTCCCCTCTCACCTTGAAATCGTGACCCCTAGTAATTGAGTCCCCAACTCTGGGAAAAAGCTTCTTGCTATCCACCCTGTCTATACTCTCATGATTTTGTAGACCTCAATCAGGTCCCCCCTCAACCTCCGTCTTTCTAATGTAAATAATCCTAATCTACTCAACCTCTCTTCATAGCTAGCACCCTCCATACCAGGCAACATCCTGGTCAACCTCCTCTGCACCCTCTTCAAAGCATCCACATCCTTTTGGTAATGTGGCGAACAGAACTGTACGCAGTATTCCAAAAGTGGTCGAACCAAAGTCCTATACAACTGTAACATGACCTGCCAACTCTTGTACTCAATACCCCGTCTGATGAAAGACAGCATGCTGTATGCCTTCTTTACCGCTCTATCGACCTGCGTTGCCACCTTCAGGGTACAATAGAGTTGAACACCCAGATCTCTCTGTGCATCAATTTTCCCCAGGGCTTTTCCATTTACCGTATAGTTCGCTCTTGAATTGGATCTTCCAAAATGCATCACCTCGCATTTGCCTGGATTGAACTCCATCTGCCATTTCTCCGCCCAACTCTCCAATCTATCCATATTCTGCTGCATTCTCTGACAGTCCCCTTACTATCTGCTACTCCACCAATCTTAGTGTCATCTGCAAACTTGCTAATCAGGCCATCTATACCTTCCTCCAGATCATTTATGTATATCACAAACAACAGTGGTCCCAACACGGATCCCTGTGGAACACAGCAGGCCAAGCATGTCCTTCCTGGGCCTCCTGCAGTGCCACAAGGATGCCCCCCGAAGGTTGCAGGAACAGCAACTCATATTCCGCTTGGGAATCCTGCAGCCCAATGTGTGCTGCTTGGCCTGCTGTGTTCATCCAGCTCTACACCTTGTTATCTCAGATTCTCCAGCATCTGCAGTTCCTACTATCCCTGTGGAACACCACTGGTCACAGTTCTCCATTTTGAGAAACACCCTTCTACTACAACTCTCTGTCTCCTGTTGCCCAGCCAGTTGTCTATCCATCTAGCTGGACCCCATGCGACTTCACTTTCTCCATCAGCCTACCATGGGGAACCTTATCAAACACCTTACTGAAGTCCATGTTTACGATATCTACAGCCCTTCCCTCCTCTCTCAACTTTGTCACTTCCTCAAAGAATTCTATCAAGTTGGTAAGACATGACCTTCCCTGCACAAAACGATGCTGCCTATCACTGACAAGGAATGAGGCAGAAAAGTATATTGGGCAGGGAAAAGTATTTGGCAGGGAGCTCTATGAGGTAGGCAGGGAGCTCTATGAGGCAGAGAGGCGAATGCAAAAGGGAACAGTATTTGGCATGGAGTGGTATGAGGCAGGCAGGAAACGGCATGAGGCAGAAGGGGTATTAGGTAGGGAGCAGTAATTGGCAGGCAGTGGTTTGAGGCAAGCAGGTGCTGGTATGAGGCAGGGAGTTGTATGAGGCAGTGAGATGGATGAGGCTGGTCGGGGTGTTTGGTAGGGAGCGGTAGAATGCTGTCAGGCAGTGGTATGTGGCAGGCAGGGAACAGGATGAGGCAAAAAGAGGTATGAGACAGGGAGCGAGCTGTATGAGGCAGAGAGGCGAATGGTGGTGTAATGACGAAAATGTGACTTGCCACTCCCTTCACGATTAAGAAGGCTCCACCAAGACGTGAACTCAGATCACAGGGTTCACAAAACTAGCGCGCTCACCAATACACCAGGGCAACCACAGCTACAATCATAGTGCAAGGCATTGCTCTAGAGTGTTTGTCACCTTTGTCAAATGTGCAGTTGTCTAGCAGCCTTGCTGTTTCCCATCACGTTACCAAGCCGGGGTACTGCTCGCTCATCTCTCTGATCTGCAAACTGACAATCTGCTGGACAATTGCACCCTCCGGTATTTCGGGCTCTGGTTTCAGATTGTCTTTAACAGCACCTTTGCAGCACTCGTTCCCAAGCGTGTCTCTTTGTTTCCTGCTGTGTCGAGAACTGAGGGCAGCTCAAATAAAAACCACAGTGACTTCCACTCTCAGGCACCGACCTAAATTCTCCACGCCAGGGTTTGGATCGTGCTGTGCTTACTGCTCTGACAGAAATGTGATGAGATCTGATGTGGCGGTGCTAAAAGGTCCAGCCTTAGACTTGGCCCGTAAGCAGATTTCACTGTCGTGTCCCAAATTAAACAATTCGTAGGGACGCACCAATTAGAGATCCCACTGAGATTCGGACTCAGATCCCTGGATTCAAAGCCCAGAGTGCTAACCATTACACCATGGAACCGACTGCACTGCTTTCGCTCAGAGGACACAATGGTATGTCCTGCATTCAAACATGCAGTTCACTTTCTACGCTCCGGTAGACGAAAGCTGCAGTCTGGCTGCAGTGCCCTTCGAAGGAAACACGTCCCTAGCATGAGGGGAGAGCAAAAGCAGACAGCGTGCGATGTAAAAATAAGCCCACTTCAAGTCTCGGTTTTGTAATGACCAATACTAGACTTGCCAAGACTCGTCACTCCCTTCACCAGGTAGCAGGCTACACCTAGATTTAAACTCGTATCACAGGGTTCGGTAACCGGCACACTCACCATTACACTATGGCTATCAGAGCCATTCCCAGAGTGCAAGGCATTGCTCTAGAAAGTTTGTCACCTTTGTCAAGTGGGCAATTGTCTGGCAGCCTTGCTGTTTCCCATCACGTCACCGAGCCAAGGTACTGCTCGCTCATCTCTCTCACTGGCAAACTGACAATCTGCTGGACAATTGCACCCTCCTGTATTTCGCTCTGGGTTCAGCTTTCTTATGCACAGCTTCACTTGTCACCCTCAGCATTTCACACGTCAGACGTAGCCTTCTGCTCAGAACCGCTGAATTTTATCCGGATCCAACGCATCATCCTCCGACACTTCCGCCATCTGCAATCCGACCCCACCACCAAAGACATCTTTCCCTCCCCACCCTTATCTACTTTCCGGAGGGACCACTCTCTCCGTGACTCCCTTGTCCGCTCCACACTTCCCTCCAGCTCCACCACACCCGGCACCTTTCCCTGCAACCGCAGGAAGTGCTACACCTGTCCCCATACCTCCTCCCTCACCCCCATCCCAGGCCCCAAGAAGACTTTCCACATCAAGCAGATGTTCACCTGCACATCTGCCAATGTGGTATACTGCATCCGCTGTACCCGGTGTGGCTACCTCTACATCGGGGAAACCAAGCGGAGACTCGGGGACCGCTTTGCAGAACACCTACGCTCGGTTCGCAATAAACAACTGCACCTCCCAGTCGCGAACCATTTCAACTCCCCCTCCCATTCCTCAGACGACATGTCCATCCTGGGCCTCCTGCAGTGCCACAACGATGCCACCTGAAGGTTGCAGGAACAGCAACTCATATTCCGCTTGGGAACCCTGCAGCCCAATGGTATCAATGCGGATTTCACAAGTTTCAAAATCTCCCCTCCCCCTACCGCATCCCAAAACCAGTCCAGCTCGTCCCTGCCTCCCTAACCTGTTCTTCCTCCCACCTATCCCCTCCTCCCACCTCAAGCCGCACCTCCATCTCCTACCGACCAACCTCATCCCGCCCCCTTGACCTGTCCGTCCTCCCTGGACTGACCTATCCCCTTCCTAACTCCCTACCTTTACCGGCTCCATCCCCGCCTCTTCGACCTGTTTGTTTCCTCTCCACCTATCCTCTCCTCTATCCCTCTTCTATCCGCCTCCCACTCTCTCCCTATTTATTTCAAAACCCCCTTCCCCTCCCCCTTTTCTGATGAAGGGTCTAGGCCCGAAACGTCAGCTTCTCTGCTCCTATGATGCTGCTTGGCCTGCTGTGTTCATCCAGCCCTGCACCTTGTTGTCGCTGAATTTAAAGCCCAGTTTGCTAACCATTACACCACGGAACCGACTGCGCTGCTTTCGCTCAGAGGACACAATGGTATGTCCTGCATTCAAACATGCAGTTAACCTTCTACACTCTGGTAGACGAAAGCTGCAGTCTGGCTGCAGTGCCCTTCGAAGGAAACACGTCACTGGCTCAGGCGAGAGCAAAAGCAGACTGCGTGCGATGTAAAAATAAGCCCACTTCAAGTCTCGGTGGTGTAATGACGAAAATGAGACTTTCCAAGGCTCCTCACTCCCTTCACCTTGAAGAAGGCTACACGTAGATTTGAACTCCAATCACAACATTCACGCCCAAACTACAAGTCAAATTGCTACAGTACGTCTGTCCATTCAAACAACACTGTTGCCGGCTCCCTCCTTTACCGCCCATCGCTGCGCAACCGCACATAACTGCCGCTGCTGAAGCGACGTGCGTGTCATCAAAGTGCGATCTCCGACGGATTGTCTTCAACAGCACCTTTGCAGCACTCGTTCCCAAGCGTGTCTATTTGTTGCCTGCTCTGTGTCGAGCACTGAGGGCAGCTCAAAAAACAACACTGTGACTTCCACTCTCAGGCACCGACCTAAATTCTCCACGCCAGGGTTTGGATCGTGCTGTGCTTACTACTTTGCCAGAAATGTGATGATATGTGACGTGGCAGTGCTAAAAGTTCCAGCCTTAGACTTGGCCCGTAGGCAAATTTCACTGTCGTGTCCCAAATTAAACAATTCTTAGGGACACAACAAGTAGAGGTCTCACTGAGATCGCTGCATTTAAACTTGTCACTCTCAGCATTTCACACGTCAGACATAGCTTTCTGCTCAGAACCGCTGGATTTAAAGCCCAGAGTGCTAACCATTACACCATGGAACCGACTGCGTTGCTTTCATTCAGAGCTCACAATGGTATGTCCTGCATTCAAACATGCAGTTAACCTTCTACACCCTGGTAGACGAAAGCTGCAGTCTGGCTGCAGTATCCTTCGAAGGAAACACGTCCCTGGCACAGGCGAGAGCAAAAGAAGACTGCGTGCGATGTTAAAATAAGCCCACTTCAAGTCTCGGTGGTGTAATGATGAAAACGAGACTTTCCAAGGCTCGTCACTCCCTTCACCAGAAAGAAGGCTCCACCTAGATTTGACAATAGGTCAGCACAACTTTGTGGGCCAAAAGGCCTGTACTGTTCTATGTTCTATGAAACCGTTAATTAGCAATATTTAGTGTATTAGTTATGTTGTTACATTTCCAATATTGTTGTTATTCTTAATTCCTCTCTCTTTTGTAGTATTTTGACTACAGTGTTTAAATAAATTGTATTTTGCTTTACATCGAGTTGTTTGATCAATTGCATTTGCATCTGAAACCAACACTTCATGTTTGCCTTTAAAAATAGGCTACCTTCTGAAAATATTTTGAGAGGGTCTTGTCTGGTCCACAACAGACTGATTAATAACAAAGATTTATCTTAGGAAGAGAGATTGACCAGTTTTGGCTGATACTGTCTGGAGTTTAGAAGAATGAGAGGAGATCTAAGATGCTGTAGGGGGTGGGGTAATTGACGATGGAGAGAAATTGTTTCCTTATGTGGGACAATCTAGAACGCGGAGTCATCATGTCAGGATAAGGGGCTGGGGCAGATTGAAAACAGAGAGGAGGAGGAATGGCTTCTCTCAAAGGTTGGGTGGCCGGGGGTGCAAAAGGGGAGCATGATTCTAACCTGTACGTCTCAGGACTGTGCCAGGAAACGGGAGCACCTGGCGAAAAAAAATCGACACGGACACAGGGAGAATATGCCAACTTCACACGGACAGTCCCCTGAGGATGAAATCGAACTCGGGTCCCTAGCGGTGTGCAGCAGCAGTGCTGACCACTGAGCCACTATGCTACCCATTGAGCCTGTTCCACCATTCGTTGGCTGACCTGTGGCTTCACTCCATTAACTTGCCTTTGGCCCCTATCCCAACATTACCTTAAGCAAAAAAATTCTGTCAGATTGAAAGCTACGACTGTGGTTTGTAAAAAAGAGATCTAAACCTCGATCACCCCTTGCGTGCAATCATTTAACGTAGCATTTTCAACGTACCTTGGACGTCCAAATGTGAAGCGGTTCTTGTTTAAAAAAAAGAGAATTTGCCGTTACATCTATGAACGATGCACACGCCCGCGTGATCGTGTATCATTTGCTTATAAAGAGGAAATCTGTTGTTTGAAATACTGCAGCTACAGGTTTTGGGGCAGGATTTTTGTTTGTCAAAGGCGTACGTTGTTTTATTTTTGTGCCAAGTTTGTACGTTTGCTTCAGAAGAACCGTAGCCCGTGAGGGGCTCCACGGACTGACATCCAAATGGAAAGCTGAGTCCGGAATGTCAGAACGTAGCTGGGTAATACTTTGCAATAGGAATAGAAGAGAAAGTGGAAGAGCTTAACCGAGAGGTGAGAAGGAAGTGTCCTGGAATTGGAGCTTTAATGAATGGAGATGTCAGTTCAACCTGTTCAGATCGATGGCTTGGATCATCTCGCAATAGAGTTATAGAGTCATACAGCATGGAAACAGATCCCTTGGCCCAACTCATTCATGCCGACCAGGTTTCCCACAAAAAACTAGTACCATTTGCCTTCATTTGGCTTTGCAAATCCCTCTAGCACCCTCCCTAATTTAATAATATCCTTCCTATAGCAGAGCTGCCAGAATTATACACAGTAATCTAAAAGTTGCCGCACCAATGTCCTGTACAATGGCAACATGATTTCCCAACTCCTATACTCAATGGTCTGACTGATGAAAGCAAGATTGAAATCTGGATGATGGTACATGATCAAGAATGCTCACTTTAATACGATAGACACTCACAGTACTGGAGAGGCCTTTCGATCCATCCAGACTATACCCAACAGAAATAAAGGATGTTCCCAGTCCACGATGGGGCGGTCCAGAACCAGGGGGTGACAGTCTAAAGGGGACAGGGTAGGACTGAGATGAGGAAAAATGTCTTCACCCAAAGAGTGGGGAGCCTGTGGGATTCTCTGTCACAGAAAGCTGTCAGGGCCTAAACATTGAATGTGACTCCATCTCTCCCTCTCTCAGTCCTGTCACCATCCCACTCTCTCTCTCAATCCTGTCATCATCCCTTTCTCTCCCTTCATCCTTCCCCCATCTATCTTTCTCTCCCTCACCCCACCATCCTCGCTTCCAGAAATTTTAATTTCAGTGTCGAACACATGAAACAGTTTGAATTATTTCAGCTCCTCCTAACAGCATAGCCCTGGCATCTCATTTGTATGTGATTAATCCAGGAGATAAATACACACTATGCTTCATTTATATATAAATATGTAACAACCACTTACAGAAAATGAGCAGGTAAAACGCCTTCACATGCATCGTGTGGAATCCAAATGTAAAGTCGACCTCTCTCTCTCTGGGAGGATAAATGCTTAAGGAATTCAATTAATTTCACCTCCGACTTTCCTGAAAGAGGCAGGCATAGCTTGGGCCCATGCGGATACCCATGGCCACTCCTTTTGTCTGTAGGAAGTGGGAGGAGTTGAAGGACAAGTTGTTAAGGGTAAGGGCGAGTTTGGTTAGGCGGATAAGGGTGTTGGTGGAGGGGACTGGTCGAGCCTGCGGGAGAGGAGCTATGTCTGCCTCTTTGTAGGATAAGTGGAACAGTCTCTCTTCCGCAGTTACACCGGCCTCATCCCCCACCTCTTCCTCTATTATATCGATGACTGTATGAGCGCTGCTTCGTTCTCCCATGAGGAGCTCTAACAGTTCATCCACTTTACTAACACATTCCACCCCAACCTTAAGTTCACCTGGACAATCTCCGATACCTCTCCTTCCTGGACTTCTCCATCTCCATCTCTGGTAACCACCTGGAAACTGGTATCTACTTCAAGCCCACCGACTCCCACAGCTACCTAGAATATACCTCCTCTCACCTACCTTCCTGCAAGAACGCCATCCCCTATTCCCACTTCTTTCACCTCTGCCATATCTGCTCCCAAGATGAGGCGTTCCACTCCCGGACATCCCAGA